AAATATTTAAATAATCTCTAAATATTTATATCGTGCGAGGATAGAACCCGCGACCATCTGAAACAGGGTTATGTGCTAAACACATTGAGTGAGTTAAACACATGAGTTATATGTATATGTTAAGTTATGTAGTACATAGTAACATTAACAATTACCTACCCATTTTAGTTCATTCACTGTTCACAATTTTGCAAAGGCGGTCTCGTATAGGCAAATGCAATGTAAGTAAGATAGATAAATCCACTAGAAGAAATGACGACTTTATTTTTGTTGCAGGAAATCGGTTAATGCACAGGGAACATAATTTTTGTGTTAATGTGGTGGAATCATACCGTAGTTGACAGTAATAGAAACAAATGGCGTAACTGACCTGTGAGTGTAAGAAAACAATTTCACCAATGATTTGGTGTAGAGTGTATTGTTAATTATAGCACATCCCATTTAAAGGTTCCTTTGTATTTACATGCACGTGTAAGATTATACCATTACATGGCGTCGAGGTTACATGAAGTATGTGCGAAGTTTGTAATATTACTGATTTCTTATCAATGACCTTCAGTGCTCCGCTCGCCACAATCATGCAAATAAAAATAGCGCATGTTTACATTGTTTTCTGTGTTTTTTGATTATTTGATTGTAATTAAATGAGACATTTTATCTTTCACACGAATGTCACAATTGCTCCTTATGGCATGGCCGGGACCTTTTTATCATATATAAATATTGTAGATATTTCAGTCAATTAAATATAGCAACTGTTGCCTACAATGAGCTATTTCTATAACCTACTTGTACCTGTGGCCTATAGTCGTGTTTTATTTAAATGTAAATGTTTTCGAATTGTTTTAAAGAGAGACGTAATTATTAGAAAATTTCGAAACACGTGCTTCAGAAATACAAGCGGCCGTGACCCCCTGCCCGGTCACATGAAGCTGGGTTGAGCGCGCGTGGGAGGGGTAAAAAGAGAGAAACGATGAGGGGTGGTGGGCGAAGAGAAGTGGTGAGAGGCTTTCTGAATTTCATTTATTTCCATAATAACTAATAACGTATTATTAATCATAGAAAGAACGTCTTGGCCTAGTGGTTTACTGTCTTAAATTTCACCCGAGTTCTTGAGTTCAATTCTGGTCTGTACCAAAAATCTTTGTGTGTCATTTATATTTTTCATTTACTGTCTGGTAAAGGAAGGTGAAAACACTGATAGCAAACCAAAAATTAACCCGAGAGACAGCGGTAGGCTCGCCCCTGGCACGTTGGATCTAAATTGTGTGACCGAAATGTGAGTATTTCAAATGTTGCGTTTATCACAATATTTACAGTTGACGTTCCTCTGTCTACCCTATCCGGGATAACAGTAATGACGGTATGTATTATTAATCATTTTCATTATAATGTCATCACCTGATTTTGCAAAATTATAGAATTCATACCTATTATGAAACCGTTGTATTGTTAGTGTAGCAAATGACGCGCCGCGCTGCGACCTCGCCCAAGGTTGCCAACCAACAACTTCCCTGTGTACTGTGTACTCAGTCATTTATAGCATCTCTATACATACATATAGATTACGTATGCTTTTTACAGCTGAGCTGTTATAAATGTTCTTGAACACTATAAATTGACAAATAAAACATGGAACAACACCAACAAACGTGTAAATTAATAAAAAGTATAAAGCTATATTAGAATTCTACGCAATTGCTAATCGATGATATAAATTATTGGATTAATATAGCGACCTTGTTGATAATATATGATATCGTAAAATAAGCAAATATAGCTAATTATTTTCTGCAACGAGGAAATCATAGTGTAGTACGATGATATCGCAAATGATTATCAGCGGGAAGTAATTTACTCTCCAAGAAGGTCATGGTGATATGATAACATCATGCGGCATATTACTATTTGCAAAAATATGACCTATTATTTACTTTATTTAATAATAGTACACGAACAGCATAATAAGAAATCAGAATTGTTCATAGTTGTGAAACTTAGCATTTCGTTTAATTTAGAGACTACTCCAAACTTGTAGACAAATGGGACAATAAACTTTGTTATATAAATGTATAGATTTTGTCACAATAAAACAAAAATTGTTATTTACTTTTAGGAAGTAATAAATTAAATTCATATTCACTACTATTGTCTATCTCCGAATAATTTAAATATTAGGTAATAAAATTAATTATGCTGACAGGCTGACGTCTATCACAATGTACTACGACTAGAGTCTTGCATATTATATATGTTCATTTTATTACTAAGACAGTATCGAAATGCCTACTTCCTACTATATTTGTCCTAAAATATAGGTTCTGGTATATTCAACAAAAACTTTAGACATAAAATGCGCCCGACATAAATCGTCTTTAAAATACCTCATACTCTATAACTTTCATCCTACTTCATTACGTTTTTCAATTCACAGGTAAAGCGTGGGTACAGATATATCGCAGAATATTTGCTTCAATGAACCGATTTTAATTTATTATGGCAACTTTTTGCTAACTACTAGCTTTGTTACCTAAGTGTAATTTTCCATTAAGTTGCATTCAGCAGATTTGTAGAGTACATCGCTTAATATAAAATTAATTGGTTGGAATTATTCGGATTATAAATAATTTTGACTATAATATACAATAATATCAAGTTTAATTCAAATATGTTAGTAGAAGTAAATAGAAAACGTAATTAGTCTATTTACTTAATATATATCAGAGGCTTGAGTAACGAAATAAAATGTGTAGAATGCCGCACGAGAAGTGAAAATTTGTGTTCTAAATCTCCATAGATATAAAAATATTGACGGAGTTTTTGAATTGAAATCCTTTATTTTCTCCTTACTTGTTTAGTAACTCTAGCTTCTTCTAGTTGTAACTTGTTCAATTGCTCACTTTGTTTTAGTTTATTTGTTTTAGTTTATTTCATTATATATGCGTAACCAGAGCGGGAAGCTAGTTTATACTAATAGACTAGAATATGTTAAATCTCTAGTACATATAAAATCTGACTATAATTTTCTGTGCTCATCTCATATTTTATTTCTGGAGAATGCTCCAGAAATAAAATAATTGCATAATGAAATTAAATGTCATTATTATCACCAACTTACCATATATTATTTGCTATCTCTGTATAATATTTTTAACGGTGTAAAAATATTATGGTTCATCCTTTTATCCCAATCTAGATATCGTAAATTTCAAGTGTAGAAAAAGCACTAATATTGCTAAAAATAGAGATTTAAATGTCGAAATCATACTATGCCGAGCTGCGGAGGCCGGCGTGGCAAAAGTAGGTAATTCTGCCTCTTGTACATAAGTAGAGACTATAACCCAACAGAAGATAACGAGTTGTAATGCTGATTTGATGATATTACAAAAAAATCTATATATATACTATTTACCTGTACCATGTATATACTACCTATATGCCTGTACCTCGTGTTGTTTTTAATATATATTCAAAATTCTGTGTAATTAATTATATATAATATATTTCTGTACTAACTACTACTCAATGGTGGAAAATACTGGTGAAAAAAAGCCCAACATTACATATTTCGTTCAATTCTTTAATTCAAATCTTTCATAAAAATATGGAACAGATTGATGCTGCTTCATTAACTATATTAAAAATGTGACTCATCCGACAGATCACTGTCAAACTGGCTGAGGGTTTACAAACAAGCAGGGCACAGAGGTCGCAGGCACCTGCGCCCGCGCATTTGACATTGCCAGAGATAAGATACGGCTATTATTTTGTCACTGCTATCGGTCCAATGTCACAGTGACCTTAATGACATGACGCGTCGTCACTGCAGGATGTACCTACTGACCTTGTATGATATTTATCTAATCTAACATTTGCGAAAATGGATATTATTTAAAGATTACTTTCCATAGGGAAATATTTACATTGTTATAGCTCAGATTTAAGGTCATGGGATCGTAAATAATGAATTGCTGTTTTTAATTTAGAGTTAGTTTTAAAACAATTGAATGTGACTGGTCCTTAAGTTTTTAAATGATGACTGAGAATTAGTACATGAATTTTAACACGTATCACTTATCATTTTTGTACAATATACACAAAGAAATTTATTTGTCTAGGTAAAAAGTGTGTAGGTAAGCAATTAAAATATTTAATTAGATATGAACAGACATTATCTCTCATAATATTTTTAGCAGTAGTTGTTGTGCTCGCAGTACCTATCACTTACTAAACGCACATGAATTTTTAATCTCTTGTAATGTTCGTCCTTCTACCCCGAACCACACATATCCTCGTGTCCTAACACGTGACCCTCGTGTTGTTAGTAACACACAACATATATCGTTAATAAATATGTTATTTCAATAAGCGACCTTCGTCAGACCTCGTCATCATCACCCGGAAATTGCTTTATAGATGTAAACGCGCGTTACAGTTTTCCGAAGCAGGAAGTATAAGCGCAGCGGCCAAGGCAAAGTAAAATTGTATCTACTAATCGCAACATCTAGATATCAGTACATGTGGTATGTATTTGCACGTTGTAAATATTCCACTAAAATTTTATCAATCTTGTCAACCACTATCCTGAATTCCTTGTGACGCCGTATCTATGTCGTATGAAACTTTATTACAACACGACTGTAGTCAATAATGCAATTTTAAATTGAGTCTTTAATTGAGAATAATAACACTAATTTATGTAACTATGATTGTTATCAAAAATGTGAAATATAATATACTTATAGGAAAAGCGATACAATTCTCTAGCATGTGAGATATTTTACCCATACTACATATTTTAGAAAATGGTTCTTCAAGATGGACAATATTTTATTTACAAGATGTTTCGGTATTGACGTTTGAAGGACTAGCGAGAATTACTCGTATGTTGTAGTTACTTTAAGTAAATCAAGACGAAAATTGATTTTTTATATAGTATAGATACATCTTACTTGTTTTTAAATGTTTAACAAAAATTGAGAAACTTTTACTGCACTTACCTAAATCAGGAATAGAGCTGGATGGTTCCTCGAATATTGTCGGTTTGTGAAGGCGTGGTGGCGGTGGCGGCGGTGGTGGCGGTGGAGGTCGCATACATTGGATCACCGAGTGTGCTGATGGAGGTGTTGGGGCCGTTATCAGCACTGGTGCACGGAATTCCTTGCCCGGCGGCGCCGGCAACTCCAGCCGGCGAACGCCCGGCATCATCTCTGGTTCGTAGCCCAGGTCCAAGGGCTCCCGTTTAGGCGACATCTTAGGATAACACTGCATTGTTCTTTAAAATACTGACAAGTCCTAACCCAATATATATAGTATGATAGTCTTGCTAAATAAAACAATTGCTTATAAACAAAACTGCTTTACAAAGTTTTCACAAAGAATGCGGAAATCTTCTCTGATCGTATAGTTTTCATTGACATTTCAACGCACGATTGTGTCGAGTGCATGGGAAGTGCAAGGGCGGCAAGGCCTGGCGCCGGTATTCGAGCGCGTATCGTGCGTGCGCGGCGCGCCGCTCGACCCGCGAGACTCGTTCGCTCGCCGCGGCTAACTTTCTCTCACTGGCGTGGCGGGCGGTGGCGGACGAAAGTGAATCTGCAGCGAACCCCTCGCCTCGCCTTCAGGTGTCCCTGCGCCGTGCGCCCTGCACCCTGCACCGCCCGCCCAGAGGCGATCACCGCCACCGCCACCGCCGATGCCGATGCAACGCCCATCCGCCATCAACTTTAACCTTAACTCTGACCTTTACTCGAGTGCACTGCACTCACGATACAATGATACCTTAGTACACCTATTTTAAAACAATATCTTTGAGCAGCCGTCTAATGTCATGTATTATTAATTTTCTCGTGAGTACATAATTTACGTAACTGCGGAAGAATGTCTGAAAAATTAGTACATTGAGTAATTAGAAAATTTTCTTACACAGTCCATCAAATATTTCCATAACATGATTAAATGTTAACTGATACGATTGACTGACTGACTTATGACCACACGAATATCCACTAATGTTGGCCCATATTCGCTATGAGATGTAGGGAAAGAAATACATCGGAATGCATATTTCATTGTTGATATTTTTTGTAAATATTGCGATTGTATACCTAATATTTTTTTATTGTTTTATGATTGATAATGGAATTACCAACTGCGTTGTGGGTAAACAATGTCGGGTCGAGGATAATAGGATGACCATAAAGTCTCACTTGGCCTATTGTGGATATTTTCTTGTGTATGAAGATACTTGTGTAGCGAATTCAGCGGGAATTGACCGTAGTTGTTTAGAGGGGGACCGTGTAAAGAACGACTTGACATAGTACATTATTAGTAATAAAGCCATTATTCCCTGTTATACAATTCCCCATTATAAAAATATATTTTTTTTTCACTGTTAGAAAATATATATCCTCTTATACACACTCTATATGTGACGGAAAATCAGAATTGAAGGGAGGAATCCATGATTAGTTTATTTTGGAACTGATAATTGAGTTTAGTCAAAATTGAGGAGGAGATTACAGGTTTACCTATATTATAATAAACATTACACACATTACGTATAATATTCTCCTATTCTGACATGCATTCTGTTCTTTCATGTAATATAATTTTAAATTGGAACAAAATTCTTTTGATTTAATTTCAAAGGAGCCTTCTTACGGTAATCCGTTGTGATAAATTAATTTTGATATTTGTAGTAATCTGAAAATCTGAACTCGGTCAATGTTAATATCTATGATAACAAGCCTACTGTTTTAATTCCGACATGGCGTATGTCGAGCGATATTTACTTTTACAATCGATACTGAGTGATCATAGAGGCACGCTCGCTGATTACAGGCAGTGATATGATAATCATCTAACAGATACCGTATTAACTGCAACGTGTTTCTACAACGCCTAAAAAGTTTTATCGATCATCCGAGATACTACACGATTGTCTTATCGGCCAGCATATCATCTGATAATTGACTTCATCGGAAAGTCACGGATTTGTTGCTCACTCGTGAACTTTTCTTTGTAATAATTAAAATGAGTATCAAATTACTCATATACATATCGTCGGTTAAATAGAAAAATGGCAGTATTCAAAATGTACATTTTTGTCTTGTCTTGTAGACAAGCATTTAAAGTTTTTGAATTTATTTAAATTATTTTTCCCTTTAAAGTTTTAAATTTATACAGAATTATTCTATATAATTTTAAAAGTAAGTATTTTAGATAATGATTGGTTAATTTAATTGAGTTATATATATAAAAGGAGGTAATTCTAGCTTCTAATTTTGGAAAAAATGACATTTTTCTATTTAATCGACGAATTGTGACATATTTAGCGGGTATTCATTAAAATATGCATTACTAAAACGGCAAAAATAAAGTGTTTAAAAATATTTTTATTTCTTAAATGATAAAAAATATATCATAACCGACGAGTTTTGGATATTTTAAATGAGGTAAAATATTAGAATTCGTACCCATATAGTTGCGAACTCTATATTTTGCCTGCACTATTTTGACTTTTTTATTATTTTTACTATTACAATTTTTATTACTTTCTAAAAACATTTGAGAAAATATAATTAGTATTTATTATGTTACTATAATGCTATAATGTAGACTTTTATTGGTACTGAACGATTCCATTAAATAACATGAAAATTTAAAACAATAATATATTAATATTTTTGTTGTCTCACCATTATAAATATAATATCATTATAAAATTAATAAACTTATATTTTATATGTGAGGTGGGTGAGTATTGCAGCTTCAGACGCGGGCGGCTTCGAGGCGGGTCGGTGCATCAGGGTACGAGGCGGTCACTGGCTCGTCGCTCTGCGCACATGCTACTTCTATTTTGGCAAATAGTATCAATGACCTGACACCTTAATTGGTATTATTGATGACTAGTTGAATCCCGCGCTGCTGCTCGCATAACACGTATGTTATATGTAATAAAATTCATTTCAATCCGCGAGTAATTTTGGCGTGAAAGAGTTCCAAACACGGCAGGATGTGTGTTTGCAACTCTTTCACGCCAACTTCACAAACTCTCATTTATAATATTAGTAGAATTTTATTTTGGTAGTTATTTAATCGTTACTGTTACTTATACTTTACTATTATTGGATCATTCATTATTTCAAATTTAAATGTACAGTCACACGGATATTACCATAATAATAATTATATACATTTACTGCAGTTTCATCTAAATAGATTTTTATTTTAATACTTATAATTAAATTACCTATTCCAGGTTTTTATATTTTAATAGTTATTCATAATTTTTCAACCTAGGTACATAATTTTAAGGATGAACTTGCTTAAAGTGTATTATAATAGGTATCGCTATATACAGCAATTATAGCAAAATAGCTGCCGCAGTTGAATAAACATTTGATAATGGAAATGTAGTTAATTTTTTTTTTCTAAATCGAAACACGCAATAAAGCTTGTGACTGTATTATTATAAAGCAAAACATAATGGAACTATTAGGTATATTCCCATAAAATAATTTTCAATTAAACGAAACACCTAGTCTGTAATCTCAATTAAATGTACTCATCAGATTATAGTAGTAATATTATCTAAAATTAATATATATAATAAAGATAGATCTTTAGTTATATTTAAAATAAATCATTTCATTTTCGTAGTATTTTTATGTCCGTGTTCGGATTCGGGAGTGAAAGTTGATGGCATGGAAGGGCATCAGGACAGCGCTCTGTTGCAAGCAATCGACAAGGGTGCCGTAGAGGCAGCACGCATGCGCGGCTTAAGTGCAAGTTCATGGCTTGCATGACATGCATTCACACCGTGGAACTATTATCAATTTTATGTTTAAAGTATTATCTGTCGCTTTCTTTGTGGCGACATCCTTTTAGCCTACGTCTTATTATTATTATCCTATACTATATATATATATTATTATACTATAACCTTAGGAATACACAAGTATTCCTAAGGTTTTTTTCCCTTATTATTATACTACTTCTTGTACATTAACTGTAATACCCTAATTATACATGAATATTTACACTTGTTATTACTTATTGTTTTCAGGAATTCTGTTGTATAATCTAAACATCCTTGTTTATTAGAAATTATAAATTCTAGTACATAATACATTAAAAGATAATTGTTTTCTTTAATAAGATTAGTTAATTTTGTTTTAAGACCACCGTGACTAATTCGCCAGAAAGAAACCACAGTGGTTTCCAGGTAGGACCGACATGGTAAAAATATTTATTTGTTCTCTAAAATTAATTATTATCTGAAAATAACTTCTATACATGCGTTTGAATTTGCGAATAAGCATAGTAAAGATTTGTGATTCTTTGCCAATTGTAAATAGACTTTCATTGCTCATACGGATTAGATGACTAATGATCAAGATTAAAGATTTTCATTACTACATTCATTCACGAATTGTAATTTTAGTGCAATACACATTTTACTTTATTACAATTACAATCTTTCGTAGTGTACCTAATTATTTAGTGGAACTTTTTTTATTATTACTTGTTTGAAACGCTTTCAATATCTATCGGTGTGAATTCATCCGACAGCGGTAGTCTCGCCGCTGCCGGTGTGGCGGTCGCCGATCGATATGTAGCGGCGAGACAATGTATTTCTTCCCCTGGATATAGTATCTCGTCCCATATAACAGTATGAATATATATTTGTTCGTTCAAATAAGTATTTTAAATCATGTGGCACTAAAATTAGATTTAGTATACAACTGTAACTACATAAAGTATTGAAATGCGTGTGTATGTATTGTAGTACTCGGTAACAGTACTGAATGAATGAATGAATTGTAAGTGCTGGAATGACGAACGACGTTGATCATTCAAACTAATGGGTGGCGGTATTTATAAGTCAGACCAATCACACGGTGGTCCACAATTTTGCGAATAATAAAATTGGACAGATTGTGAACTTTGTGAACGAAATGACACGTTCATTCAAAATTTCACGGTTTGTGATTGATAAATACAAACTACCAAAAAATAAAATTATATATCGTAAACAGAATAGTACAATACACAATTTATCGAAAATTTATGACGCGAGATAGATTTTAAATCAATAGTCTTCACAATCATACGATGATATATAGAGAATATGAGGCAGAGATAAGTGTTTTTATAAATTGCAATCTAGGTGACGGTCCCCCTGATGGGAAGCGTCAAACGCCGCATATATAGGTGCATGAACATCACCACGGATATCACGTCATCCTGTGATGTTCGTTCTAATGCGTGGTCAGTCTGGAGGACTGCAGCTTACTTTAACTTCAACCGAAACATAGCTTACACAGATGAGAATATGTAAAACAGACAGTGTCTATTCTGAAGACATTGTT